GGGACAAACCCAGCAATTGGGCTGTTTTGACCCAGCGGTTGGGTTAAATGTTTAACCCATCCTTCTGGGTAGTAACCCAACCGCTGGGTCAAAACAACCCAATTGCTGGGTTTGTCCCTATTTTACCCAGCACTGGGTTGTATTTAACCCAGCATTTTTTAAAGTGTACTTGGTCTCATTTGATTAATCATTTGAGATGTCATAATCAGGGGATAAAATTAAAAGTGCAGAATGTATAAATGAGTAAAATTTGGCTTTGGTGAGTATGTAAATAAAACAGAATGACTTGCCAGCTGGCTGGTAACTTTTTTAGGAACTGCAACATTACATGCTTTAAGCCAAACTGTAAGAATGATAGACAGACACTCTCTTATGTAAGTGATGTGCATTTTTCAAATCAAAGACATAAAGCGTCTACTCAGGAAAACATCTGTTGCATCGTTTATCTCAGAGGAAATGGTGTTATCAGTTCATCTAGAATGCCTAATTTCATTTTCTGAAGGACTCCATGTGGTGACATATGTGGAATATTTCTCGCATTAAGCCACTAAAACAGAAATATCGCAGACAGATGGGGACTGGTTCATCCTGAATGTGATGCTGCGGGTCATGCAATGAGCTGTGCTGTTTGTCATAAGCATGCAAAGTTAAAACATCTAAATAATTCCATTGTCCGCAGATGTTAAATACGATTTTTATGGCCTGTAAATTTTAATTCATTCGCCATTGGCAAGTGTGGCAAAAACCTAATTTTGAACCATGATAATAATGAATGCAGAGAAAGGTTTGTTTAGGTCAAGGCCACATGAAAGTCATTCTGCTCCATAATCCTGTTCTGCCAGAGCTGAATATTAATGATAAATTAAATAGTCCATCATAAGGGAAGGGTCATCAACTCTCTCTCTCTTTTCTCTCATTCTCTTGCATCTCTACTCTCTACAACCTTGATATGCCCTTCACACCTTTTCAATATCTTTCTCTGCACTGCTTTCTCTCATCTCACATGGTCGTTCACCTGTGTCGTCACCTGTCTGTGTGATCAGCTGCTGGAAAGTGAGAAAAGCTGCTTGACTTCCTGTTATTCTGCTCACAATGTATCATATCAGCCCATCTACAGTTGACACCTCTGAGAGAGAGAGACAGGTGTATTTTAATGTGCAGTTACACTAAAGGCTACTAAACGCTTCTGTCTGTTCTTTAAGAGAATGCTTAATATGAAACTTAATATGTGTTTAATATGAACTTTAAAATTTGTGCATCTCTAAGGGTGAATATATTTAACTTTTCATATAAAAAATATATACATACTTTTTATTTATGAATTTATTTATAATATATATATATATATATATATATATATATTATTTATATTAGTCATATCAGCCCATCTACAGTTGACACCTCTGAGAGAGAGAGACAGGTGTATTTTAATGTGCAGTTACACTAAAGGCTACTAAACGCTTCTGTCTGTTCTTTAAGAGAATGCTTAATATGAAACTTAATATGTGTTTAATATGAACTTTAAAATTTGTGCATCTCTAAGGGTGAATATATTTAACTTTTCATATAAAAAATATATACATACTTTTTATTTATGAATTTATTTATAATATATATATATATATATATATATATATTATTTATATTAGTCATTTTGTTCAATATTTTTTTTTATAAAACAAAAAATATTTTATTTTTGTTAATAATATATTATTATATACATGCATGAGCATGAAGCCTATTTTTACAATTTCTGCATTGTAATTTTGCGATTTTCTTTTTTTAATAATTAAAACAAAATTTCCAGTTTAAATATGATTACACTTGTTTTTTTTATCAAAACATTTTCCTTATATTTTTACTTTTAAATTTGAGATTAAAATGACGGTGACATTCTTCCCAGGTGTCTTGAAATTCACCATTATTCTGACTGTTATGATCTGGTTTTAAACCGAACTTAATATTAAATGTGTCTCTATCTCAGTATTTATAAATATTGTTTAGAAGTGTTTACTGTGATGTTTACAGTTGCGGTGTGTGTTTTTCAGAGGGAAAAGTTGAAGTGAGTAAAGAAGGATTGAAGCTGTGCACTATGGGACCAGGAAAGGTGTTTGGAGAGCTTGCCATCCTTTATAACTGCACCAGGACGGCCACTGTGAGAAGTGAGTACACACGCAGCGCAGTGATTAATAAAATTATCCTGATTTTGATTCTCAAACAGGAGACATTTTGGATTTTTTTTTTCAGCTACAACATAGATTAGCACAGCTTGAGGATTATCGTTCTCAGTATGACTAAAGAGAATCGGCTGCTCCATCTGTGATGATAATCTGTGATTTCATTGATAGACAGGAGGCCAGACTGTGAGAGATATGAGGGTTGAATTAATATCAGGAGACAACTAGGCATGGGACGATAACCGGTTTCAAGGTATACCACGGTTTGGAAAAGTCACGGTTTCAAAACCACTAAAATTTTCCGTTATACCGTTCCTGCGGTATGCGCAGTTTTTTTACGTGACGTCAAAGACGGAAAGTGCAGGACTCTCTCAGTTGTGTGCAGCGAAGAGCGTAACGAGTCACACGACCCCTCCCCCTCCGGTTGGTGCGAGCTGAGTACAGATTAGGGTACAGATGACGTTTTAGCGCCGATCGCTAAATAAATACTTACAAGTCGAACATAAACTATATATCTGTCATCTTCGGTTTTCTCTCTCTTTCACCCCTGATCAAGACAGAGACCCACCCGCCGTTTGTTTCAGTGTTGAAATAAATACTATTTGGCTTGCTAGGCAGATAACTTAACTAGCTAACGTCAACTAGTTTCCTCCCTCACGTTACTTCACAGAGTGAGGAATAGCAGTCTAAATTGAGCTGCAGGTTTAGGCTCACTTAAGTGACTGCATTTAATTAAGAAGAATTTAATTATTTATTCTAATTATTTAGCCTGACATGTTTACTGTTCCAAAATGTTCTATATGTTTCTTAAAAATAAAATGTGTTCAGTGGAAAAAAGGTTGTTTTTTTACCCAGACATTTAAAAATAACATATTTTAGAGCTGTAATCGCAATACCGTGATACCGTGATATTTTTTTTTTATCTAAGGTTATCATACCGTCAGAATCTCATACCGGCCCATGCCTAGAGACAACAAATAAGTGGAAAATTGTGCTTGGATATTCTAGGATGTTGTTGGTTATTTTGTGATTTAAACAACTCCCTAACCCTAGGTATTAAACTTTGGCAACTCTTTTCAACATTTTGACATTTTCATTAGGCTTTTACACATTTATAAAAAAGCCCCAAGTTGCTCCAAAAATCTAGATCTGATTCTGTAATAGCCATAGTTAATAAACCACAATTAATGTTGACTGTGGAAGCTTGTTTCTGCCATCAGATAAAATCATAAAAAGGTAATTACGACTTTTAATCTCACAATTCTAACTTTTTCCCTAGCAATTCTGAGTTTATATCTCACAATAAAAACTGTTTTTTAAACTCAGATGTATAAACTTAGAATTGTGAGACAAACGCAGAATTGTGACATATAAACAGAATTGTGAGATATAAACTGCTAGCAAGATATAACTGCAAGATATGTTTATAACTCGCAATTCTGAGAAGGAAAGTCTGAATTGTGAGGTATAAACTCACAATTGCAAGAAAGTATTATTTATTATTATGAGATCAATAGTCGCAATTGCGAAATGCAAACTTGGAATTCAGAGGTAAAAAGTCAGAATTGCAAGATATGAACTCAGAATTGTGAGATGTAAATTTGTAATTGTGAGAAAGGTCAGAATTCTGAGTTTATATCTTGCAATTCAGTTTATATCGTGCCGTTCTGATTTGAATTATTCAGATTTGCGAGAAAAAAAGTTTGAATTGTGAGATATAAACTCAGAATTGAGAGAAAAATCTGAATTGTGAGATATAAACTCAGAATTGCAAGAAAAAAAAACTAATTATGAGATATAAACTCAGAATTGAGAGAAAAAAGTCTGAATTGCAAGATTTAACCAGATCATTTCATATGCACAGGCTTGTGTGCTGTATGGTTTCTGAATTATTTGCAAGCCTTTCTCTCATTTATTATTCCATTCTTCTCTTCATTTCTTTTCCCTCTGTACCATTGTTCTCCTTCATGCATATTCTCTTCTTGCCTCTGCTTGGCTCTTTTTCTCCTTCCTCTTTCCCTTCCACTCTATCTCTCCTCCTCCGGCTGTGTTAATGGTGTTCCTGCGCTCTTCTGCTCTCTGTCTCTGGTTCTCTGGATAGCATCTGGGACAGGAAGTGAGCTGGACTGGGATTAAGGGACATGCATGCGTCTGATCTCTCCATGCACGGCCAAATCTCTAATTTCACTCAGAATAGAGTCTGGATAATATTCATTACAGTTTTCACTTGTTCCGTTCCGTTGATGTAAATTTAAAGGAATTTTCCACATTTTAAGCATCTGTTGCATGTTGTTGATTACAATAGACAATTATTCCAACTTTTCCCTCAATTCCAATTGAATGGAAGTCTAGTTGGAAATTGTTTAGCACTGCAGATATGCAATGTGCAATTATGACACTGTTTTGAAAATATTGTGCATTTTTCGCATCCTTATTTTTTGCGTATTTTAATTTATGTAATGAACATGTAAACCTAGTAATTTTCACACAAAGTGCACCAGAAAGGAACATGATGTAACTCTGTAAGCACTTTTTACATGTAGCTGTAGTTGTTTGTGCTAGAGACATGAATGACACCACAAATTGTGGGGCTCGTTGAATATAACTGCCTTTCATTTCTAAGCGATCAAACAATTTTCAAACCTTTTGCAAAATACAAATTTAGACAACACTTTTCCTTTTGTATTGCCATCCGAGTGTTTGCATAGCTGCTGGTGTGTGGTTATTCATGTCTTTCTCCCTGTCTCTTTCTTTCAAACACACACCTTTTGTTGTAGTTGGTTTCCAGTGGTGTCTGCATGTAAATAAGTCTTCTGGAGAAGCCGTGGCTTAGAGTATTAGAATGCACAGGGGAAACAGCGCAGATATGTCAGCGCTTAAAGTGGTTTTGACCTGCTGTGATCTTACCCACCCTACAGCTGCCCTGTCCATTCACAGCTATAAACAACAGAGCAGAGCAAGAGAGAGCAGGTCCAGTGCTTCACAGGACATGCTAGATGAAGGCTCTTTATCACAATACTCTGATGTTAATATTGAACCCAAGTGGATGCTCAACAGATATTATGAGAATAAACACTGACATACCCTAGCAAGTACATTATAAACCTGCGGGGAAACCAAGAACATTATTAAAGCAAACGCATCCATGTTTGTGGCTTTACAGAATGAGATCAAAACACAGATGTTCAGTATTTTTTAATGCAACTTAGTAAGTTGTTGATTAAAGCCAGTACAAAATTATCATTAAATGCTGTTCGTCAAATGAATCATAATTAATCACATATCTGTATTTGCTTATCTAAAACATATTTAGATAAAAAGGAAACTGGTCACCTGTAACAGTTCAGTATATAAGTGACAGGTAGCCTAAGACTTTTACATTGTTACAGAATATTTCTGTTTTAAATAAATACCATTCTTTTGAACTGTCTGTTCATCCTGAAGAAAAATATCACCATTTATTTTTATAAAATATTTTCATAGTTTTTCCACAAAAATATTAAGCAGCACAACTGTTCAACATTGACAATAATAAGAAATGTTTCTTGAGCAGCAAATCAGTATATTAGAATGATTTCTGAAGGATCATGTGACACTGAAGACTGGAGTAATGATGCTGAAAATTCAGCTTTGCATCACAGGAATAAATTACATTTTAAAATATATTCAAATAGAAAACAATTAAGTTGTAATAATATTTGACAATATTACTACATATATAATGTTACTGTATTTTGGATGAAAAATGCAGCCTTGGTGCGCATATGAGACTTTTGTAAACTTATACAGACCTAAACTTATATGTATATATTTATATATTTTAATATTTGTCATTATCTATTTTTTTATATCTTTTCATTAGACCTCTGTCCTGTTCTTGGATGCAGTCCTTAATTTGTGAATCGATTTCCATGCACAAGATTTCTTACAGCTTCAGTTCCAGTCTAAAAATCAGTGTACATGCTGATGGACTCCAGCTGAACTGCAGTCCATTTTAGCTTTCCCCCCACACTTCTTAATTTTTTTTTACCTTCTCGATGCAATATCAAAAGTACATCTTATAGGAAACATTTTTGTATCTAAAATCCTGAGGGTGTGACAAGTTCAGTTAATTATAATGTTAAAATACAGTGAAGTTCTCATCTCCTTGTGGTGCCTGTGTGTGTGTGTGTGTGTGTGTGTGTTTCTGAGATTGTGATACTCAGGCTGGATATCATCACTCCAGGTGATCAGTTGGAATGGAGAAACATTTGCAGTAGGTACAAGAGAGAAAGAGTAGATGGCCAGAAATTACCCTTTTTAAAAGTATACAACAGAAGCTGCTATCAATTTCTAGCCTTTCTAGATGGTAATACAGTAGAGTTTGTGTATGTGTATGTTTGTGTATGTAGTTGGGTCATCTGTGTCCCACATCAGGAAGAAGTCAGACATGGCAGTTTGACATGACAAACCCATTTGCTGCTTTGCTAGTATAGATTTAAAGTCTGTTTACTTCCATCCAAGAAGCTTGAAAGTCATAATGCTTTGAGTTTGAGGGATGTGCGCATGGATAAGACCTTGAAGCATATGCATTAGATATAAATTAACTGTTGTCCTACACCAGTCTGATAAAAACTTAATAAAACAGCATTTTAGTTCTGATATTTGTTTTTCTGTTTGCTGATTATGGAAAACATACCCAGTAGTGATCGGTTTGCATTTCAGACACTTTCTCTTCATTTCAACTTTCTTTGGCCCAGATGAATTTAGCTGTGGCCATCAGTAAAGAACAAAGATTAAATGTATTTTCTGAGGCATTTTCCATGCAGCTATCCAACTGAGATATAAACACTTGATGCTGGAGGTGTTTTTGTTCACTAATAAAACTTCTAGCTAATGAGCCAGCAGCCCTGTAGTGCCATTTCAATTCACCATCTAATGCATACTGCACACACAAATGGCACATACTGGCTAAAATCACCAGTTGTAATCTGACTGGCTGGCTT